ATGAGGGCAGGGAAGGTAGGTGATGGAGCCTCAGCACACAGAAGACAGAGAGGGAGAAATGGGCCAGAGTAAAACAGGGCCTTCACTCCAGATATTCATGAGCAGACTGGTCCACAGAACAAACCAGGGAAGATCTGGATTTGAACGCTGTCAAGTGGCCACAAGAGCTACTCACAGAAAGCACTCAACAGGCTCCAGGCACAAAACTTCTCTTTACAAAGCCTAGTTCATTCAGACCCTCAAAGCTGACTGCCTCCATCTTTTAGCAGAGGCCCGTTTCCCTCGACTGCTAACACATGACATATCGCTAATAAACACTTTTTTTTCTTGAGATGACAAAGTTGTAGGAAACTGCTCATCAAAGTGGCATCCTAATGAGCCTTAATTGATCAACATGATAGATCTATTTACCACAGCAGCAAAAACTCAAAATCATTTAGGATCTGTCCTCTCTTTCATACTAACATGCCTAAAATATAGTATTTATATATTTGGTAGTAATGGGTTCATAAGGGAAAAAATTAACAAATCAGCCTTTCTAACATGAAACAATAAGAAAAGCAGAATTCCTTGTTAAAAGCTATGAAACTTTCCTTTTACACAATGATCCACACAGGCTCTATAAAAATCCTCTCAAACTATCAGACTGATCACCTCACAAAATGTGTACGTGCGCGCGCACACACACACACACACACACACATATGCGACTTCTCAGTTCTTAGTCTTAGCAAGACCGCACAGAAAGGATAAAACAATGGTATGGAAAGTTACCATCCTCTCCAATTGGACTCTCTATGCAGAGTTATTGCTTCCATGTGTTTAAAAAAAAGAAGAAGAAAAAAGAAAAAAAAGGAGTCTTTAAGCCAACCACAATCCCTAAAACTTTTGGCGCTCTTATTGAGTATTGAATCCAGAAGGGGGGAAAATTTTTTTTTATTATTATCACACAATTATATCAGAGTCAAAGCCTTGTCATTATGGGAATATGCCGGAAGCTAACAATAAAGGCTGGTTTTTAAAATGTTTACAGGAATCATGCTATGTATCTGAAGCTGTGAAATGCCTCAAACTATTTAGTCTTAATATTTAAATATGTAATTACTGTGCTGGACACCAGATCCTCAAATACATAATAGAAATTAATTTGAAAGAAGTTAAAATGGACAAAGTTAATGTTTTGGGTTTTTTTTTTTTTTTGTACAGTAAACATACTATCTTTTATCTGTGGTTGGTTACACAAAGCTGAGAAACACAAATACAATATAACACTCATTTTCTGAAAACAGTGAAGTCATGGCTCCATAACACAAAGAGGAGGTCAACTAATAAGCTAAAATCTACTGTCTTTGCACTTTTTCACACACCAGGGTTTGAATTTAGGATCTCAAAGACTCCAAGTTTCAGTGTGTGTCAAATGAAAGCAGAGGGCAAAAAGTTCCTGAACCCCAAACTGAGAACAGATGGGAATGTAAGATTAGATGGGGAAAGACAGCGACATTTTGGAGGTTGGACCACAATATCTCTCCCAGAGGGGGCCAAATATACCAGACCTCAGCTTGCTCTGCCTCCCACCTAACTCCCAAATTAAATCCAATGTTCTTGATTAAATATTTCTCCTTAATTTTTATCAGCTTTTTCATACATAGAAATTTTAAAAGAGAGTATTAACAATTGTTTGGATGATTTCTATACAGCCAACATAAGGCAGTCATTTCTCTGGTTAATTTAGCATTATATCACAATAAGGCTATTCATAATAATGTTCATAATAATATCAGGGGCTATATTAGGAAGAAGCAAAAGTTATGAAAAGATTGAATATGCGGAGTCTAAATGTCTTGTCTTGAATGAAGAGCCATATGCTGTAAATTAAAGTTATGCAAATAAGTTGTGACTATATTTTGTGTTCATTCTTCTCATTTTTATCTGTATAACTAAAAATAATCTTTCCATAGTAATGCCAGCAACACTGTACTGTCAAGGTGTTGTTCTGTCAGATATTTAATTTCTGTAGCCAACTCTGATGCTTCTGTTTAATAAAAATCAATTAAAACACTTAAAAAGCTCTTTGGTGTGGTGCTAAATTCTCAGTGTTTTCTTTTTTTTAATTTTGACTATGGTTGACAGTGAAAATATAAATAAAACATTTTCAGATTTCCATGAGTTTTCATATTTTTGTGTATTTAAAAACAGGAATTTTACTATTTTGTAATTATTCTCCTAACCAATTTAAAAAATTAATCATGGGTGTATTAAAAGCTGCTGTGTATGTTCCACATGTCAGGATATGTGATAAGGTTTCAGTTTTAAATTTCATACAAAAACTTAAGATTCTTTCACACAACAAGAACCAGATTATTTCAGTAAGGTGTGATGAAGTCTCAGAGTTTAGTCTCACAAAGTCAAGCTTCTTTTCCCCAACAATGAAAACTTTTTTCCTTGGACCTTTCCTTTTTCTCCTGTCCAGAAAGTTGACTTTTAATACCTTGACCCTATTTTATCTTTTCTAACATTACAAGGTTCAGACATCAAAAAGAAATGTGGAAGCATGAATCACTCCAAGTGAAGAGAGCAGCTATAACTCACTTCAGTGACTTCATTTAAAACAACCGATGGCCCAGTAACCTGATCCAGGTTTCTCTGACAGAGCGCCTGCCTCATTTAGCTAGACGCGTGCATAAAACAACTGCTGAAGCCACTTCGACTTATTCTTAAACACTACCACTGAAAAAGGGAAAAGCCCACATCTCTAGCTTCTGGTTTTTTTCATCTAAAAGGCAAACACACTCATAAGATTTATTTAAATTAATTTTCTGTATTCTATGTTTATACAAATAAAACTAATTAAGGCAAAGCAAAGTTCTAATTACCCAAAACGTTAAATGCAAATCCCTTACAAACTGTACAGTGATTAGCTAATCCACCTTGTAATCCACTAGTTGAATGATTTCTCTATAGAAACAGACAATTTTATAATGAACTTGGAATTTCTATGCTCTGGTTGGGGCTCCTGGACTCTCAGATGGGATTGCATATGTGTTCCCTGAGTACTGACTTAAAATTCCTGGACAAGTTCTGGCTCTCTCCTGTCTTTATAAACCCGTCGGTCATAGCACTTTAGAAACAAACACACGTCTGATAAAAACGGTACCACTGACACTATAAAGTTTCAGGTGTCTGTGAACACCTAAGGAACCATAGTCAATCAAGGTGCCTTGCTTTGGCGAGTCCATGCTATGGTACAAATATGATTACACAATGAGTAAGCACTCTGTCAACTTTTACCACCATAAATCATCTCATAGTTCCTGGGCCTGACTGTGACACACTCCTTTGTGATTTTTTGGTGCTGGCAAGCTGCGATGGCAGTGTTTAAACTCCTAACCCAGTGTTTCAGAAATGAGGATTTGCTAATGTAGTCTTGGGGCTGGAGAGTCATTTTTCCATAAACATGAGTCCACATAGAATTCAAAATCAAGAGACACCAGATTAGATCATCTTTCCGAGCCCATTCCAGTTTGAAAACTGCATTACACTCTACGGCAGCGAAAAAACAGAGATCACATTTTAAAAGTAAGCTCGGAGGAAGAAACACGAGTTCCAAGTCAAACTACCTTCTACTGGTTGTCCTTGTATAATCATATGCAAATATATGCAAATGTGAGCTAATTCTCCAACAGTAGCCCAAACAGGGCGGGGGCTACTGAAGTTCCTATTTGCAGCACTTCCCTTTGTCTGCTCCCAGGGCCTTCAGCATAGGACACAGTTATCCAGAGTCAGAAAATCAGGCTTCTTTTGCCAGGTCTGCCTCGGGCTTGAAATAACATCTTAGCATTATGGTGATTATTCCTTCCGTCTCATTTTAAAAAGAACTGGTACATCAGGCTACTCAATAATTAGCGTAGAGTAAAAGGCAAAGCAAGTATTCACAACACTTAAATGTTATTAAGGAAACAGAAAAACAAAACTGACAAAACTCAAATATTCACTTTTCTCAACCTAGTCAGTGCCTACAGATGACAGAACGGTTTAATTTTAATTGAATGTAATTATCATTTAGATTTAGTTTTAAAATATATTCTTTAAATCTGTTTCACAGTATTATTAAAAAGGTGTAATTTTACTAACTAGCACATAAGCTATTTTATTGGAAAAAGTCATTTGCTGGTTAAAATTTTAAAATTTAACTTACAGCATTATTCTTTCACTTTAACTTCTATGAAACTATTAACCCCACACTTTGCATTCTCCACAAAGACATATCTTAATAATTAAAGAATTATAATATCAGAAATGAGAAGAAATGCATTTATAAATTATAAAGATATTTTGAGTTTAAAATGCATGCAATTTGTATTTTACTTAATCTTTAAATTTATGAAATAAAAAATATGATTCCTTCACACTATACATATTTATAATACATATATGAATAAAAAGTTTTAAGTAAAATCTTCTCCACAAAAAGAAGTATATGGGATTTTTTACCCCTGTTAGACAGTATCCTAAGTGAACATTTTTAAAATGAAAGTGTTTAACTCATATCTCAAATACTTCAGTAACAGCCTACAAACTGGCTACTCATTAAACTGATACTTTCTGAAATTAGCTGCTCTGACAGGTTTAAAGGTGAGTACGATACATTTCTGAGATGAATTTCATAACCAACCTAGTTCATACCACCATTACGTTTTATTGCAAGGAGATGACTAGTTTGATGTGTAAAAGAGTACCAAACACAAGTTATTTTATTAAATTCATCCCAAAGTTTTTTTTTTTTTCCATAAAGGATTTTTTCCACTTTGATTGACTTAAATTTCCTTTTTTTTTTTTTTTTGAGATATAATTACACCATTAGCTGAACAACAGTACAGTCTCAATGGGAAAGGTACGTTTCCCAAAAGTTGGTACTTTGGTATTCTTCAGGAAGCCATGTTCCCTTCTGAACAGACACGTACCACCACGCAAATGTTAAAACCGGCACTGCATTACTCTACCTGAACTGTGGAGCTGATCTCGGACGCAAAGCCGCCTGTCAAGGGGGCCTCGTGGCTGATGAGCAGTCTCCCCGTTTTGGTCACAGACTGAAAAAGAAGAGGGGAACCTCGTATTGAAAACAATACATATTTTCAGCATATGACAGCATTTTAATTCACTAATAAAAATAAACTGCTTTGTTTTTATTATAAATTCCATATATAAAAATCAGTAAGCTGATTTTATGTTTAGTAAGTTAACAAATGCCTTTCAACTGGGTGAATTTTTATACTGTCAAGAAATTTTAGCAGAGCTTATAATCTTAGCATGAAAGAAAAAGGAGATTTACAACTCCGTGTAGTATATAATTTAAAACGCATGCCTATTTTATAGGACATTTTTTGTTATAAGTGAATTACTGCTTTGTATGTCCATATCTTGGTCTGATTTTTCCATCTTTTTACTGTAAGACTCCAAATGTTTTTTGGAAGGGGGTACATGACATGTGAGCACATACAACAATACCCTTAAACACTGATTGTGGAAAACGAAAACCCAGAAGCAGCATGAAAACACCATTGTGAAGGAAAACCAGTACATCCTTGGGAGACTTGGCAGTAACACGGTCATTCTGAAAATAAAGGGTTACAACTGTCTACGCTAACGTGCCCTAAAATCTGGTTCAAGTGTCGCAATGATGTAATCTTAGTGGCTCAAAAGGTTGCTCTCATCGGGGATGAGAAAGTAGGTACTAGGTACAAAAAGAAATCAAAAGGCATGGCTGTGATATCATAGCAGGATACCAGATGTTTTAGGAGGAAAAACTACTAACATCAACATTAAACTATATCAGCAAAGAAGAGGTAAATTCTCTAAATTGCTATCCATGTATGTTACCTCTTTTTTAAAATTTTACTATGAATTTAAAATGAGATCTTCAAGCAAAAGATATGTATCGAAAAGGAAAGACTTCACCCAGTCTGGGCGATTCTAGTTTAGAATTCAAAAGGAATGAGGGAGCTTCAGTCCGCAGGAGTGAGTGGAGAACTTGAGGGGGAGGAACACCTTAAAGAATCCTACCAACTCCTGTTCAGATCTGACACCCCTGAAGGAGTGACATTTGCCTTTCTATGGCTGTAGTGACTTGACAATTCTAAAAAACACTTCTATATGCCTCTTCGATGTGCCATCCGAGGTGGCATAAAAACTTTCTGTAACTAAATAAAAACAAATGTGTTTTCAAAATATTCTGTAGGAGATTTTTCTGCCTTGGTTAATCAGTTTGAACAATCCATTTGCTGCTCAGATCACTCTGAGAGCTCTGTGGCACAGAGCCCTGCCAGTGAAACACAACAAATGAATCAGCTAGCATCCACCCAAGGTAGGGGGTTCATGTCTAACAGGTAGGAATGAGAGACTTCTTTAAATGCCTGGCTCTGATCCTAAAACAATGTACTAGTCCTTTATAACCCAAGTTTGGGCCTATCCAAGACCAAATGACAACATTTAGAATGAACCCTGAAATCCAGCAAGCAATCAGGGCCAACAGTGTACGCTTCCAGCAACCTACAGAGTCAAAACTCTAGGGGAAAAAATACACATATTCCAGATATGACAGTTCCAGCAACATGATATGAAAAGTATACAGAATCAAGACCTTCTGAGCAACGCTCAGAAGGAAAATGGTGACACCACGCACCCCCCCCCACCATGGAGTACTGTAGAGTCACAGCAAAGGCCCGATGGGTGGATCCCCAAAGCAAATCCATTAGAAACACAAGCAACTTGAACGACAATAGCTCGCTATTTTGAAAAGGGATGAGACACAACAACCCGTTTAAACATGTATGCTATTAGAAACATTCCTTCTCCATGATCAGAGCTGGTCCCTCCTGAGAAATGGTAGTTAGGAAGGCACGTGGGAGGGGTTTTAAATGTTCGCTTATGTCATTTAGTATTCTCAGTAAAGCTAAATAAACAGAAATAAAGGAAGCGCCCATGAGTTAAGGATAAATTGACAAATACCCGATATTCATAATCTCCTCAAGAAACAAAATTCTTTTAAAAATGTCTTAAGATTCCCTTCAAAAAAAGAGAAATCTTTGGGTCCCAGAATGCAGATGCAAAACATTAAAACCACTAGGAGAGCCGGCCACAGTGGCATATGCCTATACTCCCAGCACTTGGGGAGGCAGAGGTAGGCGGATCTCTGTTAGTTTGAAGCCAGCCTGGTGTATAAAGCAAACAGGAGAGGCAAGGCTACACAGAGAAACTCTGGTCTCGAAAGACCAAAAAATAATAATTATCATCAGTACCATCACCATCACTGGGAGCCAGCCTCCACCTGCCACCTTCTTGGAGGTCTGCTCATGTGGAATCAATCATCTGAAGCTCCTCACTGAGACTTCAAGACAAAAGACCCCAGATAGAATAACAAATAGGTCATTAGTGTGAGAGCATCAAGTCCAATATCACTCTCTCTGTGCCTAACCTTAACCCGTGTTGCCATTTCTCAGATAAAGCATATTGCTTTTCAGAACTGTAGAATAAATTCCAGAAACTTCTGAAACACCAAGAACCAGAGACCAGATGAAACAGAATATAACCTTACTCTGGATATATGGAGATGGCCACCGATTCAGACAAGTAAAAAAGAGCATCGAAAGAAGAGGCATATAGAGGAAATCATTAGAATCACAGTGTCGTAGACACCGCCATGGCCCCTTCTCTGAGCCAAGGATTTTGTGCCCACTATTTCATTTAATTTGGAAAGTGCTCAAGTTTCATTTTTTGATGCTTAGAAATATCTCCGATCCCTGGAAAGCATTTACATAAATAAAATAAAGAAGGAACACTGATATTTCCAGCCATTCTAAGAAAGAACATAGATTGTGATTGTCTAAATATAATGCAATAATTTAGCGAGGCAGAACAGAAACCCAGCATAGCATGTGCTTTTCATCACTCGCATTTTTAACCTGCTGAGACTCCTAAAAATCGTTGTTGCTATTTTGTTTTATTATTTTCACTTTGTCAATGTTGTGATATTGAAATCACTCCAAATTTGCAAAGCACAATCATGTCATTTGTGGTTTAATTAAATACCTGTTAAAATCAAGTTTACTGTCAATGATCAGACACCTAGGCAAAATTTAAAACATACAACTGCCTGGAAATTTCCTTACAAAGTACTTTCTTGATCTCCCTGAAAAGTAGTATGGTGTTTTTTTAAAAGGTCGTTGCCACTAGCTTTTTTAAAATAATAATAATAATAAAAGATAGATATAAATGCTAATACTTTTCTTCTGAAGAAAGGGAAGCTTGAAGTTTTACGCTGTCCAGTTCCCATGTGAGATATGCACTTCTCTATTTGAAAAATTACAGTATTTAAACAACTTTTCAATACAAAAGCTAAACCTATGGAAGCCAGCAAAGATCACATAGGCTGGATTTTGCAGTTCCTGCTTCTCCAACTTTTCACCACTAAAAACTGCTCCTGGATTGTGGTCTGTGGCAAACAAGGCACCGCTGAGTCAGAGGTGACAAATGGCACCAGCAGGGGCTGAACCAATTAAAGATTAGGGCTGTGAAAAATTTCTCCATGTTTTTCTCTATACTCCAAAAATAAGAGATTCTTGTTCCCTGCCTGTCAAACCCCGAAAGGCTACTTACCACTTCAAGACCTTCCACCTGACACCCACAGCCCCTGTCACAGGACAGGCAAGCAAAATGAGAACATTGCAAGACCACTGGCAAATACAATGCCCTGTGTCGATGGAGGCCTAGTTTGAAATCCCTGACTTTTCCCCACTGGGTTATGCTCAGCCCAAACATCTTTAAGAATAGTGACACAGCTAAACCTGTCTACACCGGATGGCCAGCACAATGTGCTGGATGTGGGAGACACACCAGGTAAGCCAGACCAAGCTCTGCGAAAGCAAACGTTTAAAGGTATTGCAACATGTCGCCTTTGTACATTTATGCTGTTACAAAATCCATTTTAAAGGTCACATAAAAATACACCTCGGCATAGCCTGCAAGGTTTGAAGTAAAACTCCAAATTAACGGAACCTTAGCATAGCGTTTACGTGTTAATTTAAGGCAGTTTTTAGCTGATAGAGTAAAACATAAAATTCATACCTATATATGGCTCCCCTGTGATGCCTCATACATGCAGGCTAATGTCACTCCAGCAACAAGGGGTCAGTCGCCGCAGAGCTATGTTGTTCTCCGTGAAAATGGTCCCACAGGCATTGGCTGCCCAAATTGCTGGACATATGTTTTAGTGAATGCAGCCTTTAAAGATTTTAACACAATCCAACTAGGGAAACTATTAAGCTGTCATTCCAGGAGAAAATGATACAGACAGGCAGACCATTAAGCTTGCATATGGTTGAAAGTATAACACCAGCATTCAGAACGCTGTATGTGTGTGTGCCTGTGTGTGTGTGTGTGTGTGTGTGTCTGTGTGTCTGTGTGTATGTGTGTGTGTTATTTCTTACACAAAATCTATAGCAAAAGCTTCTCCCTACCGATAATTTAATCTTACCAGCACCAATTTGAGCAATATATTCAAGAGCTGGCAAGACACAATAAGGATATAATATCCCAGGTAGGTAATTCAGCAATCTCCATCAGAATATAAAGATAAAGACAGCTAATGAAACATTACTGCTTTTCCCAGTAATTACGATTGGTGCAGTGCGACACATCTCCCTTATGGAACAGATGCTATTCGGTAATTACAACAATCTAGAATTGCTCAAGGACACAGTATTGATTATCTTCAAACATCAATGGGAATGAATTAGGCAAGTATTTTGAAACAATTTCATGTGTAGTAGCCAAACACATCTCATAAGCTAACCAGAAAAAAAAAAAAAAAAAAAAAAGAAAGAAAGAAAAGAAAAATACAATTAGTCACAGGCTGACAAACGTATCAGTAGATGCCTGGAAACCAATATTTATCAGCATGCCTGCCTGCTGCACATGACTGGACCACTGGCCAGTGTTCCACTGGAGAAATACCAACACTAAAAAGAGCCGTCGAGAGCTCTGGGGAGAGTTCTGAAAAGTCCATTTTGGCAAAGACAGTGCTGGCGGGGTT